ACTATAAATGTCGTACTCTTCAAATGCATCTTTCAGTCAGGTGAGGAACACCAGGTGTGCACTGTTGGTGTTGTGCTCAATTAAAGGTTTTTGGAAATAAAAAGTACTCCCACAACCCGTTTGTGGCTGTCCAGTTTTATACAAATGTGAACACTTTTAAGAATAAAGATCTCTAAGATTCCCTGTCCCTAAAACCTGCCACTGCTGGTCACATGGTGATGCAGTGAAGAAATTGTATTTGAAGGGGGAGAGTGAAGGACAGGGTCTGTGAAGTGGAACAAAGTTCAGGACCTGCTGTGCTGACACACCGCCAGGACATCAGGACACACTGCCGTAACACTGCCCAGACCCAAAGTGCTGAACTAACCGGCCAATGGCAGAGCCGAGCCAGTGCCAGTTGTCTGAAAATCACACTGAGCTGGAATCACGATGCACCCGTCACAGATCCAGCCAATGAGATCATGTTTCAGCAGGTCTGCTGAATGCTGGGTTGCGTCACACCATCAAAACCTCAGCACCTGACCCAACGTCATCTAAAGCAACAACTCAAAGCTCCGAAATTTACCATCCGCTTCTTTGTTAAAAGTGGGCAGTTTCATAAAGATATCACGATTCACAGATTCCCACCATGAGACCAACCATCTCTTAAATAGCTGTATGAAGACTGGGTTGTAATTAGACAATGACTGGATTAACACTGAATCTCAACACTGAAACCCACCAATGCATCACAAAATTTGGATAACAGTTTGTAAAAAAACAAACCCAGCTTTTCACACTCGCCTCTAAAGGTGTCTAGAAAATCCAGAGGAATGGAGGGAAACCTGCTCCATCACAAAAAGGACAAAAAGCTCTCATTGTTCCTCTAACGCATTCCATCTTAATCAACCAAAAGAAAAATACTGGCTGTTATGTTTTCACAAAGTAGGCAAAAGAGAGATAAGCCAAAGAAAAAAAAAGTTTATCTGCACGCTCGATACTTTTTCATCCCTGCTGATAGTGTCAATTTCATTTTTCATCCATGACATTCCTGTATGCAGAAAAAAGGGAGACACAAACACCCTATTGTCTTGACCTTAATATACAATACTATCTCTCGAATTTAAGACCTTTTGATCATTTAATGGTAGAAACGTTGCTCAAAACTCTGTTGTACACAATCAGACATACCTGATAACAGCAGGCAGAAGACTACACGACAATCATCACACAGAAATGAATGAAAGAATATGAAAACAATTATTATTATGAGTTTATACACTGAATTTCACATTTTTAAAATATCTTGTCACTTCAAAACTGTTTGAAATATAATAGAATGGTTTAAAACATTTATTATCAAAATGGCATCTTACAATGATCCCTTTAACACTGTAACAAATGATCAGAATGGATGAAGCGCCCACTTTTACTTACATAAAATCAAGTTTAAAATAAGATACGGTTTAATACGCTTTAATTCAGTGCTGGCATCCTTTCTTTTTTTCTGTTCTTAAGGCAGATTGATTACAAAATTACAAAGAATCTCATGTTTTGCAGTTTGAGTATTATTTTAGGAGAATAACACAGCCATCTGTTTGTATGTTTTGATTGAACGTTAATTCTGCAGTTCCCAGAATGCCCACAAGATAGAGCACCTGTGCAAATTACGATTGAATTGAATTCATTTTTAACACTTAATGTTCCTTATTTTTTTACGAAAAATCCGGGATAACCTGTGAGCTCGATGAAAAATGTTGCTTTTTCTGCCGTATTTGAAGGGCCTAGATAGTTAAGTATAACTGAACAACTTTCTTCTAATGAAAACACTCAGATCAATGATTGTAAAATACTCTTGTTTAAGAGTCTTTATTTATAATGGGAAACATTACAATCAATGTTATCCCATCGGTGTGGTGAGAAGGAGACTGTATCTGGCTGAATCTTACTGGCTTTATTTCACGAGGATGTGTAAAGGCTTTTTCTCAAATAGTCCCTGTGTTGCTTTTCAAAGGAGGCTGCTGAAGCATTCAGTCTGAGCTCGGCTTAGATCATTTCCCCGGGCTCAGTGGGGACCGTGTGAACTGCTGCCGTTCAGGCTGACGGTGGCGCACCAAGCCAAAGGATTGTGCCGGGTCCCTCCTCAGGGGTCAGCACGGGTCAGGGCGCAGTGCCTGACAACAGCAGCGGCTGCTGCTGCCGCACGGCGTCGTCGCTGGAGGCTTGTTTATCGTTTCCTGTGTGCAGACTTTTTTGTGTAAAACCCAGACTAACACTGCCAGGACTCATCTGCGGATGTATATTATTTCATCGTGTTGTTCACAGCCTGCTGATCAGTTGCAAATGTCACATCGTTCGTGCTGAGAACAACACGGATTTTGTTTCTCAAGGCACTGGATTTTAATTTTGTAACTTGGAATTTTGACATGCAGTGCACAATGGATCTTATACAATATGTTGATTAGGCATATTTTGTCCACAATCAAAAATATACCATAAAAACAATCTGCACCAATATTTCTTCGTGTAAATTCGGGTATAAAACAAGAAAGCCAAATCGGCGCAAACTGAGTTTTAACTGAGTGTCAGTTAACCTAAAATATTTTTGAACCGGACTATAATTGTGTATATGTTTTTTTTTTATTATAATTGTACAGATAATCGTTGCTTCAGATCCGTTTTTAAAAATCTGTCTACATCCCTTACAAACATGATTACGAAGTGTAATGAGATTTTGATAAAGTATCCATAATAGGGATATTCAGGACCCTATCTTGTTTATTCAGATGTGTGGTTTTAGTTGTCTGTATGCACTGTAAAGTAAGATTCACACATAATAAATGTAATCCAAGCGAACTTTTGTAATCAATCCCAAAAGCGCGCGGTTTGCTGCCCTTGCACGTGCGCAAAACCAGGAGAAAGTCTGAATTTTTCAGTGGACTCAGGGGAATGTTTATCACCTATTTAAATCCTACAAGTTTTATTATTCACTATAACAAACCCAACGGTATGATGATCTTAAATATACTGCCAGAATGACGTAAAAGTTGTAAAATATGCTCAAAGCACAGCTTTGAGAGCTCCGCACGCAGGGGTGTGGGAGGCACTCAGGCCAGCCCCAAAACAGAAATTTGTTAAAAGCTTATTCATTGAATCAGATGTTAACACAAACCGTTTAACAATAATTATTTGAATACCCATAACAACCGTCAGAACATACAGATCCAATACCTTTGGGCAGGAAAACATCAATTTGGTTTCGTTCTGACGCAATATTTAGCGTTACAAAGTCTGTCAGCAACAACTTCTAGCGTTTAATTCGGTTCTTAAAAAAGCAACAACACATAGGTTCCCCCATATTTCAAAGGATAAACGCATAAAAAGTGTTAGAAAATCCACACTCAAGTAATAGGATTTTATGCCCCCGTCCCGCTCACTCGCGCCTTTCTCTCCATGGTGCTCTGAAAACTCTCCAAAAGCTTCAGATGTCATGTGAGCTTTGCTCTCTTCAATCTCCGCTGCTTTTAATTTGTCCAAGTCGCTCACAGGATCAAATATACCCAAGCATGGCGAAAGTTTTCAGATCAAAACGCTGTCAGTCACAAAGGGAAGCCGAGCAAAGTGTTGTGGCGCATGAGAGCGGTTTGAATCCGTGAGAGGGAGCGCACACAATAAACCTGTTGTGGACCTTGCTGTGAAAATATGTTTGAAGAAAACACCCAATTGTTGTATGAAATGTATTCAAGTATAAAATAATGCCCTTTGTTTGGGGGAAAAAAAACTTGAGCAATGTGAGGGTACAAAAGTCCCCTGTGGCATTTACTAGCACCCTTTGTGCTGTTTGCGCTTTGGCGTCTCCACTTGGCGCATTACCCAGGCCCCTTTAAACGCGATTGTTTCTTTCTTTCTAATGACATTTACCGGATCAAAACATGCTGTTAATTCGATCAGAAAGCTTCACCCTTCATAACAATGGCAGTATAATTTCTCCCAAAGTTTGTTAAGTTGACCGAAATTAGGCAAATGAATAGGGGTCTCCAGGCTACCCATCTTGCAGGTGACGGGAATAATGCACGTTCACACCAGCTGCATTCTTCTTTATTTCTCCCTTTCTTTCACAGCATTATTAAAATTTAGGCCAATGAAACTATTCATTCGACTGAATAGACATTTTCTTATAGGATAATAGGATACAAATTGAGCCTCTCCAAAGAGTCTCCAGTGGTGGGTAACCCTCGTGTGCCAGAGGCTGCTGGAGACGCTGGCCCTGACGCAGACGACGCTCGTGTGCCAGCGCTAATCACACACCTGCCGAGGAGTCCAACAAAATAAAGAATGTAAACAAAAAGCTTGCCATCTCTCATAAAAGATGGACGTGTCACCAAGTCGTGTGAGAAACGCCGAGAACAAACGGGGGGACTCCGTCTCCAAAAGATCTCCCCCGAACTTGGCGGAACAGCCTATTAAAGGCTTACTTAATTACTCTAATGACACTGGACAGGCCTTCAAACTTGGACCGGGCTTGGATGAGAGTTAAGATCGCTTGCTGGGATTTGTAAACAGGCGATCGTGTGAGAAACGCGAGTTGGATGAGAAAGGGTTTCTTTTTTTCCGCCCGCTTTGTTTTGAGTGCGCACAGTGCGCCCCACCGGATCAGGCGATCCCAACGCTCAGTTCTTATTTCCCGCCTGGGTTGTTGCTATGCAAATAATATTCCAAACGTAATCACGTGTCTTTTGAACAGCCACGTGGATTAACAAAGCAGGTTTGCCCCCCTGCCAGCCCTTGGCTTTAGGTTTTTTACTATTTCTTTAACTGATCCTAAATGCACACATTTAGCCAATGCACGTCTCTAATCCATGGAATAATTTACACCATGAATGCCGGAGATTCTGGGACGGTCTCTTTATAAGAGACAGCTTTCGCCTCACACATCAGTCTGCTTCGTCTTGCACTAGACTTACACATCTCTTTAACTCGAACCCGAGTTCATTTTTAGCAAGTTTTTCAGGAATTCATCGATGGCCTCGAAAATGAAGGACAGGAAGGTACGCGCTCGTTGTGCGCTCTGCATTTTAAGGACTGAGATATATTTTGAGATTGCACCTTAATAATTTTCATGTTTTTTGGGGGAGGCAAATTGTAAATTAGCTGTTTGTTTTTCTTCCAACAATGTTGAACTGCTATTTGGAGTAATTTTCCTACGACACGGAACATGCGTCAACTTATGGCGCGCGTTATGGGACAGCCGAGGCGCACAGTTGATGCAGTAGAGCTAGTCTGTTATTATCACAGTTTCCGTGGGACAGTGATACCAGATACAAATGCATATCCTGTGCTAACTCTACTAAAGATACATTAACTAGTTCCAACGAAGCCTTGGAGTTCAAGAACAGCTAAGGACGCTGATAACTGCCGCGCGCTTTGGAGCAATGGAGCCAGTGGCGCGCAAAATTCTACCAGAGTAGATTCGATTTAGGAGTCTCCATACTCATGCATTCAGCTCACAATGTGGAATTAGTCTGTCTTCGTTTATTTCTTGTCGATGTTGTGACTTTACGCGACAGTTGCTGGAAAGATAACGTTTCTTTCTTTCTTGTGTTTTGCAGAGAACCCCAATCTCACACAAAGTCATCGAGAAAAGAAGACGGGATCGCATCAATCGCTGCCTAAACGAACTCGGAAAAACTGTACCAATGGCACTGGCCAAACAGGTATTGTGAAATTAAAGATATAACTAGAACAATTTCCAATATATCGGGGAAGATAACACAAGATAAATTAAATTCACCAAATTGCCTGTCAGTTACAATTTATAATGTCAGATTTGTTTGCATTTATTTTTGTAGAACTCTGGAAAACTGGAGAAGGCTGAAATCTTGGAGATGACGGTTCAGTATTTGCGAGCTCTCCACTCAGCAGATTTCCCTCGTGGAAGAGAAAAAGGCAAGTAGGCTCAAATATCACATCGGTTCTGCTAAGAATCTGAAGGCGTTCAGCGTGCACACTGATGGAAATCAATTTCTACTTTGCTTGAACTACAAAGTCCAGTTTTACGCAGACTTCCATGTTGCGTTTTGTCACCAGAGTTGTAATCGCTGCTTGGTTTGGTTTATTTCAGGTGAGCTACTGGCTGAATTTGCCAATTACTTCCACTACGGATACCACGAGTGCATGAAGAACTTGGTGCACTACCTGACCACGGAGGACAGAGCGGAAACCAAAGACATCAAGTACGCACGGATTCTCGCCTTCCTACAGTCCAAGTCCCGTGTGGTCACTGAGCCCGTGTTCGGCTCCGTGGGCTCGATGCCAGAGCCCTCTGACTACCTGAACCAGCTGCACTCCTCTCCGGAGCACCAAAGCCACAGCCCATCGGACTCCATGTACCAACAGAGTCCACCGGGACACTTCTCCTGGCACAGCTCCGCGCGCAGCCCGACCATCTCATACCCGGCTGTGCCTCTCTCTGCGCACACACAGCAGCATGGCGGATACTTGTCGCCGGTGCAGGGGCTCGATCACCATTATTTCAACTTCATAGGCCACACACACGCCAACGCGTTCAGTTTGCACAGCGCGCAACACGCCATGTAAATAGTTTGACCATGAGATGTTGTTATTTATACCGTAATCCTGTATATTTTGTGAATAAATACATTATTTCTCACTAAGATTCAACATAATTTGATATGATCCATAGCTCTGTTTTAAAGTGGTCCGAATGGAATTGTGCCAGTACACCTCTGAAAATTATTTTCAAGTTGTGTCCTTGTCAGGAGATGATGTAAAAAACACTCAAGTTTTCAACCACATCCTGGCTCAGCAAAGTCTTTCTGGAGGATGAAAATTTGTTTTTTAAAGATATACTTTTTAGAAGGATGCAGGAGGGAGAATTTAGACTCCCTTTAGTCCAACCATCTCCAAACTTAACCAAACCTTGGTTAACCAGAATCAGGCAATCCCCTGACTCAAAACTCTTGTTACATTCTAGATATAGGTTAACAACTATTTTAAACAAAGTTAAACAAAAGTAACTGTAATGCCTTGTGTCAAAAGTTGCATTTCAAAGGCTGCAGAGGAGAGCAACAGTCCCTTCAGAACTTTGGCCAAGTTTAGTCATTTCCATATATTTAGGCAAATGAGTAAAGCTATTCAGGAGGATTAAAGAGGTATACTATCTAGAGATCTACACCCACCCTGGTTAGAGGTTGGCACTTATTTACATGTATTAGCTGGGTTTTTTTTATTTTCAAAGACAAAAAAAACAGCAGAGCATAAACTGTTTTATGGCCTGAAAAAGAAGCTGATATCTGCATGCAAAAGGAAAGCAAAAGAAAGAGAGGCACTTTTTGCCTCAGACAAAGTAGGAACAGGCTTAGATCAAAAGAGATTTGATTTTGGCAAGCTGGTGTCCGCTATACGTGACCGAAGCGTCTCAATAAACTGCTTCCAGGCTCTGAAGGGAAAGGAGGAGAAGAGGGGGAAAACTCAATGTTTTTCTTGAACCAAAGCGCTCCATTGTGGTGCATCTGAAAGGAGAACAATCTCAGGGTGCTTGCGCTTCATCCTTGAGTGATTGCGAAGAAAAATAATCAACACCATGAAATCAAAGTTTCTATAAGAGGAGGGCAAGGAAACTTTCCTGCTTGATCCCTCGAGTGGATGCCAACCTGAATTCAAGGTGCATGTCTTATCTCTCACCTGTTGTTTAGGTCTCAGATACAGCACGGTGTGCAGGTGTACACCATCAGGTGGACAATGACATGTGTGACCAGTAAGGACAGATCCAAAAATAAGTTCTCAGTGGAGGGATGGATGACTGATTGATGGATAAGCCCACGTTAAACGCCTGGATGGCTGGATAAACCCACATTAACCAGCTCCTGACCAAAAAGACAAAAACAACAAGAGAGCAATAGAAAGAAGTAAAAGACACCGACCCCAGAGATGGAGAAGAGACAAAAAAATGAATAAAAAGGGCTTTTGAGACTGCCGTTGAATCTCGACAGCATCAATATTGGTTTAAATCCTGACTCCGAACAGGAAGAAAGACTCATGTTCAGCCACATGAGAAAGATTTAACTGCAGCACATAACATGAATAATAATAAATTGAGCAGGAATAAAAACAGACTCAGGCTCATTTATTGTCATGTAAAATGAGCCGCAGCAGTAAAGCTTTAGCTGGAGAATGTTTATCTTTCGCATTAATATCACATGCTGAACATTAACAATCCGGTCTTTATAAGAAATCATTGGAAAAGCACAGAAAATCAAACTCAGAAGTAAGTCTGATACTTTATACGTTAACTGTGATGTCAATGAAGTGTTACAAGTGTCTAAAGAAACACAAAATCGAAATACTTTTGTCATACTGTGTGAAGGTTCACGCTGATGCGAGTAAGTCCTGGATAAAGCATCCTGTGCATTGACTCCTTTTCTTTAAAGCAAAGTTTTCAGTATAACACATTTAAACTGATAGAAGTTAAGTGTGTAGATCAGTACACTCTACTGCTTTTGGTGAAAGTGAAATTAGCAAAGAAGAGAAACTCGAAAGTGACAACCTAAACACGTCAAGTGTTTTTTTAAGGTTACTCGTTCTTTTCCTGTTTGCCAGTCATTAAAGTGAAAAAGGACATCTAAGCATCAACACCACTATCAACTCAGAGGAAGTTTATATATAACCTCTGAGTTGATATTCTATTGTACTGTAGGATATCTATTATCTTATATGCAAACCAAATGTCTAGAAACATCTTCAAAAATGCAGAAAAACTTAAATAAATGCTTTGTTAATTTGTCTTTATTTCTAAGAAATAGACTATCAAAGGTTATTATTTTCACTGTACAAACCACAGTCATTGTCTTTGAATTTAGAATGCACAAATGGACATGGGATTTGGTGATGAGAATAAGGACATTTAAAAGAGGAGCAAGCTTACAACTTGTGTCATGTCATTGTTACTTTTAATGACACCTTTGAGTCTGGGAATTGAGGGTAGAAATTGTTTGAGCATTGCAATAAGAAGGCGTGTCCATTCTTGTTAAGTACAGTATTTTAGCACATCAACAGTCCAGGCTAGCTACTGATTGCTTCTGCCCTTGCATGATTTTCTAACAGGGGACTAATTAGGATTGTAGATAGTGTAACTTCTATCAATATCTGTCAAGTTAGGTTGCTGAAGTAACCAACATACTCCTCTGCTTAGATGTATCAGTGGGTGACAGGTGGAAAAAGACAAAAGTTCATAGAATATGTAAGTGATTCTGCTCTGAGAGACTGAATAAACAGTAAATTCATGGGTACATATGTGTGTCTGGTTTAAAGGGAGCAATGAGCACTTCAGAAGACTTTGCATTAGTTTAGACTTTTTATATCCGAGGACTTCTGAAAATTCTATCTCATAAACCTAAAAGGGAGTTAAGACGAATCAAATTGTCTTTCCCCTGCTCTCTTTATGATGTTATGTTCCTTTGGCAAAGTGTTTTCACATTTGATGTATTCATGATTTGCTTTCGATACTAACTTGAAAAGAATAGTTGTCCATAAAGTGAACAATACTAGCTTAGGTTATTTTCAGTTGTTTGTAGCGCTCGTTATGTTTTTTTCTTAGTGAAAATACTCACCTATGACATTTTGAATTACTTCTACTGGGAGACTATAAAAAATCCCATACTACGAAGAAGATCCAGACTATGTATAGTTATGGAATTTAAATGTCGAATCAGTTATTCATAAATGTATTTGTTATGTGTTTATGTGCATACCTGGTAGATGAGCTTCAGATCTACTTCTGCATATTTGCTATAATTTCACATTGTTTTCTAAATAAATGAAAGACTGCAACAGAAAAAAACGATCAAGTTAGGATCAGTTTGGTAAAGGAACTGAATAAAAGATATGAAATTATTTTAGAGGATTTATCCAAAACAACCAAACAGAAGAGAACTCACCTGGAAGGCCTGCACCAGTCTTTAGGGGATCTGATGGTTTTAGAGGCAAATGAAGCAACATGTTATGTACACTTCACATTAACTTATTCAATATTAAAAAACTGTCACAAGTCAAGCCTAAAAGCTTCAGAATCTCTCACTTTATTTTCATATGTCACACAGCAATATATATACACTGTAGCCTGATCATCTTTAACCTGGGGTCAGAAGCTGCATGTTAACAATTCAAGGGGAAAAGCTTTGAAAATTAATCTAATCAATCTGAAAGCCGCAAATAATTTGCCCCATGTATCATAAAAAAAAACAAATCCATTGAAATTAAAACAGGTAAAAATTTCACATAAAATGAAAAGATGAAAATTGAACCCATTTTTTTTTTAGACCGAGACTACAACATGTCTGGAGGCAGCAAGTTAAGTTAGAAGAAGAACTTGACCAAAAACTAAAATCCTTGGAGGAGCAAAAAGAGAAATCGAGACCAGTTGAATATACAGTGTCAATATAGAAACATGAATAAATGAGGCATAGTATATTTCTCTTATCTAACCCTCTCACAGTGCCATCCTAGACTGAGGAGCTGCTTTTTCTAAGGGGTGACAGAACAAAAAAAAAAAGTCCCAAATGCTGATTGTACTGATACGTGGCTGAAAGCTCCTGTTTGATCTCTACATCTGCATGAGCACTAAAGTCAGGCTTAGCTAAGCTTGTCAAAGTACACCAGCGAATCTCCTGCTGGTGAGTATTTGTGCGCACTCGGCATGTGTGAGAAGGCGGGTTACAGTCGTGCGCCCGGGAGCGAAGCCAGAGAGGTTCGCAAGCTGTGAGAAATCCAGCCGTCGGTGCTGGTTTGGTAATAAAAGTACCCCAGTGGCATCAGCCCTCTGCCAGCTCACCTCAGGATGGTCGTCTGATCTACTGCATGAAAAGGCAAGAAAAGACAAGAGGCAGAGGGCGAGGAGGGGGGGGGGGCAGGAAGGAGGCACAGAGAAAACGGGAGGAGAATGAGAGAAAACAGAAACAGTGTGAGAGAGGGAGTCTCTGAGAGAAGGGGGGGGGGGAGAAGGGATGAAGATCATTCCCACAGCAGATAGCACTATCTCACAGGGTTTAAAGGGCCCCTATTCTGTGCGCCCACCGCCCCCTCCCCCCTCCCCCCTTCCCCCTCCCTCCCCTCACCAATAATGCCAAAATTTGGCAGCCAACCCAGCACATGAGCAACAGTTTCCCATCAGAGAGAGGCAGCCATCCTACTGCCTTGGCACCAGCCATGTCTGAAGAATGACAGCCACTGTAGTACCGGAGGAGACATGAATGGAGTCTGTTGGGGGTAAAAACAACTCTTATCGATGCCCCTGATTGTCTAGGAGCACATCTAAGGGTTGAAAAGCAAGGAAAACCATAAAAACATTAGATTGTATGAGGCTTTTAGGTGCCTGTGACATTTTCTGTAAAAAAAAAGTGTCATGATTCCATTAACTGACTTTGAGCCTTGTCCTTGTGCAGGATGGTAAAATGTAATAGGCCAAACACATGGAGCATAAAATCTGTAAGTTGCTGGAGAATGTTTCTTCATGGTTGTTTCTGCCCCCCTGCCAAGGATGACAGCCTCACCTTTCTGCACTTGGCACCAAATCCCATGTG